TGAGGCAATCTCCTTCGATTCCGGTGAAGAGGTGCTAAGCTTTCGTCCGTCATATGAAGTACATCATCAGAACAAGGTATCATCGTCACAACAAAAATCAAGTTAACGAGCCAAGAAAACATATACAGAGACAAACACACTCACAAGCATCGCAGTTGACGTATGACCTCAACTAACCAAATCACTTTATACTTGATCAAAGAGTTCAGATGTAGAATTTGCCGGTGAGTTTCCTTTACTCGTTAGCTTGAATTTTGTTGTGATGATGATACCTTACTCTGATTATTTTCTTCATGCGACGGACAAAAGATTAGCACATTTTCACCGGAATCGAAGGACATTGCCTTGGAAACAGCGTCAGCAAGAATGTTCCAGTAAAGCCAATCGACAGCTGGTCGTCTTCTGATGGAGGCGACCTTCGAATCGCTTCACGCAACACATTCCCTCGGAATGGAAGTAAGTTCAACAATTATGAAACAAGCGATTCCTCGAAACCCAACTTTTTTTCGCATATACAACACCATGTTTCCAAGCGTTTTGAAAAAAAGGTCTAACCATCCTTGATTTAATTTCGTGGGTAGATTTTCGAGGCTACCAGAAACTCTGATCTAAGAAGTGAATTCAGCCTGTTTCGACTAATTTGAAGAAGGAATGACATTTGACTTTTCCCAAAATCCGGCAAGTAGGCCTCATGTTTCTACCAAAAAGGTATTCTCCCTCAAGCTTTAGAGGCAGAAAATGTATGCCCAGCCTGACCTGATCTCATCAGCATCCCCAGCGGGTGATTAAGGCGTCGATATTATACTCTGGCCTACCACGACTCGGGTTCTAGTCCCACCGCGGGTGCAAGGTCCACAGTGCAGTCCACTTCAGCCTAGAGAAGGATACCCTTCGCGAGTTCTACGCATAGGATTGCAGAAAGATTCAACTTGATCACTTTAAACGAAATATGATGAATAGTGCTATGAAGACCAAGAGGTGGTAGCCTCTATTTTGGACGTAGTCCCCTTCCGTTGCGAAGAAGTGGTTTGACCTCGTTTTCGCAATTTGTTCGTGCTGTCGTGGAGACCAGGTTGGACACACTTTTTCCGAACTCGTCTGCTTTAATATTTATGCTACTTGCCAGCGTGGAACCAGAACATCATTTCAGTGGAAAGTTGATCGAGAGAATGGCTTTACTTGTCTTTTTCCGAGTTGTCGTTGGGTGCTGAGACCGGCAGGTCGCACTGACGATGCCGACTTCGATGCTGGCGAAACGGTTGAGAATGTACCAAGTCCACGATTCAATGCTGGCATGAATGATTAGTGCCATTACAGAAAAGTTCGGACAAGATGTGTCCAACCAGGTTGGCCTGACAACATGAATCTGGTGCCAAGACGAGGCCAAATCACTTCTCATCATCGCCTATCAAGTGGTACCTGGCCGGTGCCAGAGGAGCGCTCAGATCAGTGGGTCTGGCAACCCTCATTCGAGGCGACACCCTCATTGAATGTGAAGACGAGCGGTGAGGACGAAGCGATAATGCGCCGATTTTCATGCAAGCCTGGCTCCGGTCGGCTCGAGAGGGAATATGCAAATGCTGTTGGTTCGCGTGAATCTGGGAAAGCAAAATATCAGCAAAATGGTTGAGGTAGGGTCAGACGAGAGGACACAAAAGAGCCCACCACAACGACTGGCCGCATAAGAAAAGCAAGACTCTTCAAAGCGGATACTTGCTCGTTGTCGAGACGACAAAGTAGCCATCTTTGTCAACGTAAACAGGACGAGTGAAGGCGAAGCAGGTGGAAGCGAATTATCAAGTCGAACCACAACAAAAGAAGCCCCACTGACGCAGGCAGGAATGTCGGCTGCTTGGCCGCAAGAATACAGAAACGAGGCATGAAAAGGAGACTAAAGTTGCTTGTGACAAGTGAACACGTACCAAAGTGGTTATTAGCAACTCGCAATTGTAGCCTAAGACCAAGCACTGTATCGTGTCCAGAAAACATGTACAAGCTCTATTCACATCCACCTCGGAGGTATTAAAATGTGATCTTCCGCCTCTTTCTCGGACCAATAAAATAGGAATTCCAGTGGCCGCAAGAACAAGGCTGTCCAGAAAAGTATTCTGTAGGCAAGGAGATGAGTGTAGCGGAAAGAGCTGAAATGTTTCTTTTTGGGTTGCCGAGGCATGTGGTACAGGACGACGGCATTCACATTCTCACACGAAATCGCCAATTAACAAGAATGACGCCGAGGAATTGTGCGCTCTCGTGAAAGTAATGACTATATAAAATTTTTGTTAAAAACAACTGAAAAATATAATGAAAAAATGCTTGCAGTAAAGTGCGGGCGTTTTAAGTAAATTTGAATAACTTTGCACATTTTCGATTCGTTGATCAGTCTCTCAAGAAGGTGAAGATAGTCAATTAAATATTATTTTGTGTTAGAGTAAGAAAGAGATACAGTCATGGCAATGCCAATGAAATGTCAGAACAGAAGGCGGGTTTTCATTCAAGGCAAAGGAGGATGTCGCGTGGAATGCACGAGGCAGAATGTATCAGTTAAAGTGAACGACCGAAAGTCACCAAAAAAAGTATTAAAGAAAATTCAGCGAAAAACGATTAGCTTATAATTGATGGAGAAAGGTTGAGATAGTTTGACAGTGAATTCAGCTTATTATGGAAGCGTTACAAGCTAATCAGCTTTTAATGAAAGCCTGAAAAGTGTATAAATAACTAAAAAACAGATTAAAGTATTTATTCCTCGTAAACCAACTTTCATTGCATTTCACTAAAAAAATGAGATACACGTTTGCGTTATAATTCATGTACTACTTAAATAGATAAAGTAGCTAAATATATTTAGGCAAATTACCTTTTGTGTGGAATAAAACTGGATTGGCGAATTTCACGAGTTCATTCATTTATGATCGATTTTAAGCGCGGGCCAGTTCAACAATTTATCTTTCCTAAACTCTGACAGTCTCTCATCGGCCAAGTGTGATGATATCGTTGGTATAAAGTAGTAATTCTTGAATAATAGTTTCCAGTCCGCCAAGATGTGATCATGTGATGAAGGACCGATTGTGGGATTTTCCCACAATAGTATAAATTTCCGTATTAGAGTAGAGTTTCGAGACTACCAGTAAATCACAAATATGAGATGTATTCACCCAATTTTGTCTTAGTAGTAGAATTTTCCCACAATGATATGAGTTTTCATTGCATTTCACAAAGCAAGGTTATGTGAAATACAATTGAAACGTCGGCTCAACTCATAGAATTGTGGGAAAATTCTACTACCAGTCCTTCATCATTTACGACAAAATAGGGTGAATACAACTCATAGTATAAATTTCATTCAGTCCTGTTTCCTAAATGGTATTCTCACCGCGACCTCGTCTAGGTCTGAAAGTGTATATCAAGTTGAATCGCA